CAATCTATTCTGGGCGTTCTCCTTGTTTAAGTTGGTGAATGCTGTCATAATTCTTGCTATTTGGTGATACAAAGTTTTCTTGGTCTCTCACTGAACTACACTCCACACGTAATAAACAAGAGGGTTGCAGTCTGGAGATTCAGGTGGCCAGATATAAGGCGTTATGTGGTCGGAGAATTTAGGTTCTCCTGCTTGGAAGGCATGGTGCAGTCCTGCTGCCAGACATAGGGTCTTCCAGCATCCACTTTCTCGATACAGGGCACTTGGGACTAAGGAATATAGAGTAGAGACAGGCCTCACGTATCTCGACTGTGAGAGAAGGGATGCAGGCTGGAAAATGATTTGACACCCACAAGGACGCGGATATGCTTTTGGGATCTACTGAGACTTGAAAGTGAGTACTGGGCAGCTGCTGCCCAAATATGATAGCATTTGGGGCCTGATCTGGCTATTGTAAAGACAGCGGATAATACGATAAATCACGTACTTACTGGGGAGGTACAGGGAACCTCCTGCAACTTTAGCGATGAATCGGATGTACGAGTTCCACTTGAGGTCCGGCTTTCATACTGAGGCCCAATAATCGCTCAAGGGACATCCCTTTATCGTGACTGGTGGTAGTTCAGTGTCCGATCGGCATTATTTTGCAAACGTGAAAATAAATATTAGGTCTTCACAATTGGATCTTTCACTCCATGCTTTGTTAATATTGACAGCTATCTCAGAATTATAATGACCAAGTTGGAACTCATGCCAAAAAAACTAAAGGCAACTCTTCTTTTAAAATGTTTAAGTTGAAAGGACGATAAATCAGGTACTTACTGGGGAGGTACAGGGAACCTCCTGCAACATCAGCGATGAATCGGATGTACGAGTTCCACCTGAGGTCCGAGTTAATACAAAAGGCCAATAATCTCTCAAGGCATGGGGTCTACCTGAAGGGACAGCAATTTATCGTGACTAGTGATAGTTCATTGTCCTGTTATGGTGACCTATCTACATTAGAATGAACTCTTCCTCCTTCATAAATACTAACCTGCGAGACTTCCTAGGCAGACAGTCGACCCACAGCCTATGACTGTGTGGGACTTCTGTCGAACTCTCTGCTTTGGCAGAGGGAACCCGGACGACCTTTGTCGAAGGGCAAAGTTTCGTCCGTAGGTAGGATCCAGAACCCGCTTTCGGCTTCTAAGGGAGGTAGACAGATCCTTGGAGAAACCCACGTTATGCACGGCTTCTACATTCTTCGTGGGGGGATTAAATTGGCCGAATCTATGGGCTTGAGAGAAACCCACCGTAGGGGCAACTCCGAGAAGGTATACTAGATCCCGCCTGCTTATCCGAGTTCTAAGGAAATTCCTCGTGGGGGGTAGAGGAACTATTAATATCGGCAGTCAGGACGCAGGGTAACCTGATAGTTCGGACGGACACTTCTATCTGCTGACTAATAACACTCTTATTTTGTATATATGTTCTGTTATTTCATTACACTTGTTCAACCTACCTTCTTCTTTCCGTGTCTTTCTTTGTGGCTCTTAACAGGCCACAAAATGTCCGATTGGAATTATTTTGCAACCATGAAAATAAATATTACGTATTACTTTAGTCCCGATTTAATGTGTACAAGACTCATGACTAGTATAGAGAATTTTAACCTCATTGTGTGGGATTATATTAGGTTGGTGCAAAAATAATGACGTAATAATGTCGTTTTTGACGTTAAAAATACGTCAAAAACGACATTATTACGTCATTTTTTGCACCAACCTAATATATATATATATATATATATATATATATATATATATATGGTACTCGTTTGGAAAAACATTAGGTATTTCGGCTTGCAATTGAACAAACCAATGTTCAAGGAAAAATGAGGGATAAAAAAAAAGAAAGACTAAGAACATGATATTGAGGCAAAAACAATCGTCCAGAATTCAAGGTCAAAGTCCAAAGAAAAAAAAAACACAAAACGAGTAAAAACAACTACGTAAAGTACCCAATAAACGAATTAGAGCAAACCTAATATAAACCTAAAGAGTCAGGTAAACCTACCTAGGTTTCACCTAAACTGATCGTCAGGGTGAACTGGGTAGTTCCCCCTGACGCTCCGTGTCCTGACGTAAGTTTACCGGGCTCTTTAGGTTTATATATATATATATATATATATATATATATATATATGTGTGTGTGTGTGTGTGTGTGTGTGTGTGTGTGTGTGTGTGTGTGTGTGTATAATCAAGTATGTATGCAAATGTAGCAGATTCCGCTTGACCACGTGGTGAAGGAAGGCATGTTTGCTTTCAATGTAGCAAGGATGGGGTAGCTGAAAAAGCAATGCTGTCGAAATAACATTTATTTCATCGTTGCCGCTTGGAGTCAATGGTATTTATCAACCATAAGATCAACCTAATGATAACAGTTCTCTGAATTAGGCAATTGGATCTTCAACAGTTTCCCAATAGGATGCTAGACAAAACAGACATTCTTTTCTGTA